GATTTGGGGGGTTCTCGAGTGGAGTTTTCGAAGAGCGTCACGTCCCGGTGCCATTTCGTCGTGCAGGTTGGGAAGACTTTTCCGGAATCTGAGATAGGACAGTGACTTCTCATCGATTGGACGAGGTTCAATTTCAAGTCCCGGGAACGGGGGCGAGAAGTGCTGACACGTAGTCGGCGAACAGAAATCCGCAGACAGAAAGTTCTGCATAGACGGAAACCCCACCCACCCTGAAGAGACTTCGTCAGGAGCTCGACGTGGCCGAAACTGGAGCGACCGTCGCTTCTCCTTCCGGCGTTCACCGTTTTCTTCTTTCTCGTCGAATCCCTCGCGATCTTTGCCGTCGACGAGAAACCGGCACGATCTCTTCCCCCCTCGTTGTCGGGAACCCTCCTCGACGCCCTCGCTCCTTTCGTTCTCCAAGCTACAAAAATGACCGGATATCTTTCTTCGGTAATTATTTTTTATTTCCGAAAGACATCACGGCACGTATAATGTTTCGCAGGCGCCTACGCACCGCAGCAGGACTCTTCGCGGGGGTCCTTGGGGTCAGAGGGGGGTCGACGGTCGGAGGGGTTACGAGCCATTCGAGGGGTGGCTCTTCACGGTGGAGTGCACCTTTGTGTCGCGAAACTGCCCCCCGTGGACGCGGAAAATCTCCGGCCGCGGACCAATCCCCTCTCGGCATTGTCGCTCCCTCGAGATGACGAATAAACGGCGCCGCCATTTTGGTGCACTCCCTCGCGGGTTAAAGCGTCCGTCGCCATTTCGATGCCTCGTATAAAAAATCCGGCGTCGCTTCGTTAACAAAAATTCCCAATTCCGCTTAACCTACGCGACGCGAAAATACGCAGATCGCGGGTAAAAGTCGCGACTTTGCCCGTTCGATGCGAAAAGCCCGACGAAACGACCCGGAAGACGCGCGAGTCCTTTCCGAGAGCGGCGGAGCCCGAGGGATCAACGAGGATAAAGGGAGTATCGGGAACGTCCAGGCCCGATCGCCAGGGGTCTAAAGTTTGTAAAATATCGAGGAGCCCCTAAAAGACTTCCGGTGTTCGGCCGGGACCTCCGTTCGCCCTTTCTCGGACACGGAGCGGCCAGGATGGGCGGATATATCCCGTCCGGGGCGAGCACGTTCCCGGCGATCCCGTTTCCAGGGACATCCCTCCCCTCCTCCTTTTGGCCCCGTTGGACGCGCCGCTCGTAAAACGCGCGAAAAACGCGACGCGAGTTGCGGCTCCGTTGTCCCCCTCCCGGTCCCTCCCCCGGTCCCTCCCCCGGGACGTAATCGAATCACTTTGCCCCCTTTACGGACGCGTTATTGGCGCTTTTCGAGCGCGACGAGCGCTTCTCCCTTTCCATGGTTCCCGTGGAGGTGTCACCCCTTTGACGTACCCCCTGGAAACGCGTCCACCTATTTAGAGAGGAGGGCGCTCGAGGTTCCGCCGACCCGCGGGAGGGCCCGCCATTTTGGGGTGATTTTTAGCAGGGGAGATCCCGATCGGCGTCGCTATTTCTGCCGTTGATCTCTTCGGGGTGGTCCGGAGATCGCGAATTTCGACTTCTTTCGGGACAAGGGAGTCGTTCGCCCGCTTCGGCGCCTCGACCCTGCACGGCTGGGTGCTCCGCGAGTTTGGTCGACCGAGGAAGTTGGGTCGAATTGGGTTTGGCACCCAGACCGGACACTTCGATGCCTTCGTCGCGGCGCGCAACCCCGGCAACCCTAATCGCGTTCAATTTCAAGTAGCCCTAAGGGTGGCGGCCGCGAAACCGGCGAGGTCGCGGGGGGTTGCAAGGAGGCGCTGCAACTTGTCGCAATTACCATGATACCTCGTGCACCCGGTAATTCGATCAGAACTCGCAGCCAAGTTCGAGCCCGGCAAAGACAGAAACTACGTTAGCCTTCGCTCCGGGAAGAGGGCAGACCCCGTCGGAGAAAGCCCGGCCACTCTCCCGAAACCACCCCGAGAAGGCGGAAACGATAAGCTCGGCTCTAAACGGATCTCGGGAAATTGGGAACTCTTGGCCGAGACTCGGAATAACGACCCGACGATCGGGAAGAACGCCCCGAAGAGACGGAGAACCGATCGGAGAACTTCTCCGGGGGGGCGGCGTCGGGAAGGGCATCCATCCTTTGCCCGGGGCACCGGAATTGGACGAACGAGTCATTTCGTCCCGGAACGAGGAACGTAAAGTCCTTTCCGTTCGTCCTCGTTAATAAAGTTTCACCGACGAATTCATCGAGGAAGGAAGCCAAACGTTCTTCCGATCGTTCGCCCTCCAACGAACTCGAAGAACCGAGGGACGCAACCTCCAAAAAGACCCCCACCAGGACCATTTTTTGTTCGCTTCCCGCGTTTTCGCGTCGCGAACTGCCCCACCGGAAACTCGTTTTTTCGATACATTTTTCTCTCTCCTCCGTTTCTCCCTCGGTCACGGAGAACAAACCGCGCGCGCGAGGAAACGCCAGACGGGAATCGCGCTGCCTTCCTGGCGAGGCTCCTCGTTCCCGGCTGAAAATTTGATGCGCCGACCGATGAAAGCGATACAAATTGCACGGGCGGCGTATGGAGCTTTTATCTGCTTTTATGCGGCCGTTGTCACTTTTATCGATTCGCGTGTAAAAATTTCACCGGGCTCGTTTCCTCGACTCGCGCGAGCCCACCCCCTGGGCGGCCTCGGGGGTGCGATACTCCACCCGGGGCTTGACACGCTTTTTACGACTTCGCCCGCCGTTTTAATGGACTTTTCAACATTGCGCCGCCTTGAAAGCATTTCATAACGCGTCCTTTTTCCCGGCCCCTCCCGGTCCTTGGGCCGCTCCGTCCGGCCGAGATGCGATTTACTTAAGGATATTAGGGGGTTGCTTTCCCGAGTCCGGGAGGGTCGCGCCGTCCCCCGGAATTATTCTTTCCGTGAGATATTCCTCGTCACTTGTTTTCCTTCTTCCCCCGCGAGGGGAAGCGGGAAAGCCGAAGAAGAGCCGGGGATGCCGCGAGTCCGAGTGGGGCATTTTTCCTGGACTCGAATTTTCGCGTTCCTCTCCCGGGGCGGAATCGTCGTCGTTGGTTCCATGGCGCGAGAGAAGAAAATTGAAAATTGATTTTGGAGAGGGGAAGTCGGGGATGATTCTTAGGAGGTTCCCGGAGGGTCGGGAAACATCCGTCGAGTCGGAAGGGCGGGAGAGCGAAGGTCCGCGCCGCCGTAATTCCGGACGCGGATTTCTCGCGGTAAGGCTCGCCCCCGCGTTCGGGCCGCTTCTTTCGATCTTCTCGTCAGCGTTTTTCCGGCAAAGTGAATTTTTCCGCCGACCTCGGGGCTTGTAACTCCCGGGAGCCGTAGCGGTGCACTCAGGGCTTTTCGGGCCGAGGATCGATTAGCTTCAACGTCGGGCGAAAAGCGGGTCCGACGTCGAGATTCGCGCGGGTGGAAGTCGAGGTTTTCCCGGAGGGAGAGTCCACCGTTTTTGCCTTAATTCCTGGCCATAAATAATATTGGAAAATTGATGGAAAAGTTCCGAAATATTTTCCGCGACTCGAGACAGTCGCTTCGAGCGGCGAAGAGGCGGAGGGAGAAATCGCGATCGCTGCGGATGTTCCGCGGCCGCCGCAGTTAAGACGAAGGGTGTCACGGGGAGGTGGCGCATAAAACTCCAGGAGATTCGAGCAAAATGCTCCTCGGTGTCCGGGAAACCACTCGGGATCAGCGAAGTCGCATTTTCCTCGCGGAAGCACCTCTTGCGATTCCGCCTCTAACTCGGCTCGAGGGTCGCGCCGAGAGCGAAACCACCGAGATATCCACTCCCGCGTTTTTCTCGACCGGCCCGCTCCCCTCGAGATTTTACTAACTGCCCTCTGCCTCCTACTTCCACCTTCGCTTTCCCCCTTCCGGTGTCCTTTTCCCTCCCCGTTGTTTGGAGAAATCTCCGTCGAGAAACGGCCACGGATAATAAAGTTGCGTCAGCGTGAACGAGCTTTTCGGCGCTGCTTTCCATCCTAACCTCCAGCGATAATACTTCGTTTTCGTCCTCTCGAGAGTTTCCGTCTCTTCGACCTCGACCATACGTCCGCCTTTATGTACGCTCTGCGTACTTACATCTACGATGGAGGGGGGGGGGGGGAAGAGGAGACCTCTCGAAAACTGCACTTCGCTTCGGGATGCACCGCGATGTGCAGCAGCTCGCTCGGCCGCGCTTTCGGACCAGTTCGCAACTGGTTCGGGCCAGATACGTTAAGCTCACTTAACGCCCCGTAATAAGCCGTGCTTGCAAATTTCGAGAGCTTCGTAGATTCCGGGCTATTGTACGGTCCGATCCCTTATATATACACGCGTATATACGTGTTTGTACATATATGTAGACGGGGGTCGAAAGTAGTGCTCGCGAAGTTCCCGCTAAGCGGATCGGCGAGTTGCAGTTTGCCCGTTTAAGCGAAGGCCTCGAAGAAGGGGATGAAGAAGCGTTTTCGATTCTCGTTAATGTTCCGAACTTCCGCATCTCACCCCGGTCGCGTTTTCGCCGAATTAAACCGAGCCGTATCGGTCGTTAAACGAACGTAACGTTCCATCGTCCACCCCGAATCCGCGCGATGCACATTCGTAATTGCCACTTTTCGCTCACGGGAGCAACCTCAACTTTATATTGCTTACATCGCGGACATTTTTATTATTTAACTTGAGCCGTTATCTGCGACGAAGAGATTCGAGGGGAGGGGAGGGTAAACTTTTTCGAAGTTGCCCCGGCAATATAAAGTTTCCCCCGCGACGCCTGTGTTTTCCCTGTTCCTCCCGGGGAAGTGTAAACTTGGGGTGATCCCCCTTGACTGGAAAATGGGGCTGAGGAAAGTTGCCCCCCTTCTTTGGGAGTGGAGGGGAGACTAGGAGGACGAAACGGAGAATCTTTATTAATTTCCCGAAATTGACACCTCCCTTGAATCTCGCCTTTAAAATAAATAGAACAGGAGACGAATTCTCCCGTTCCTAAATTGTCGTTTTCGTTTCAGGCGAGGAGATCGCGAGACTTCCGGACACTCGGAGAAGGCTGACGAAAGGGGTAAGTCGACGACACGATTTTATTCATTTTCGACGAGAACTCGACGATTAATTACGCGTAGCGACCACGATCGCGTTCGGTCGAGGGGCGATTACGGAGCGTCGCCCCGCAAAAGGGATGATTTTCATCCCCTGGTAGCGAGGTGAATTTTTATTTTCTATCTCCATAACGGACGGTCGGATGAAAATTCAGCCCAGGGAGAAAAAGATAGGCGGGGAGGGACGGATGTGATGAAATTGTTTGAACGAAAATTAGACGGAGGGGAGCGAGAGGGGGCTGGATTTCCGAAATGGCCAGGACGGAAGAGTGGAGCGACGGCTTATCAATATGGATGCGTTTAACTCGCTGCATAATGGAGGGAACTCTCGGTACCCCCCTCTCTTCTGGTCCCCGTCCCCCCTCGGTGGCATGAAGGAGTAATCATTACTTCGTGAAACTGAGTTAACTCGGAACTTCCACTTCGTAAACTAATTGGAAAGACCACCCTCCCTTTCTAGCTCGGCGCACTCTTCGCCGTTACCCATTTTTCCCGGGAAATGTCGAGGACCGGTTGTGATTTGAATCTCCATTAAAGTCCCCGGGCCCTTTCTTCGAGAGCGCCGGGACCGGGAACGGAACCCCCGGGTTCCGCGGGAGGCTTCCGACCGGGACGACTCGGAGGTTGCCCGGTGGTGCGACCTCCGTTAATTGTCGGTTGACAAATATTTGTCACGCGGGGCACGGGTCCTCCTCGGTCGAGGTGCTCTAATCGAGGGGTCGACGCCTCCGTCGCGTCTAATCAGTAATCAAGGTGGATCGCTAGTCGGCGGATCCGCCCCCGTCGCCGGATGCGGTAACGACGCGGCGGACGTGCCACGCCGGATTCCGGCCGCGTTCCTCCATTTCCAGGAATTTCGCGGCGCGGCGAAGACGGACCGCGAATTATCTCCTCCCCGGGGAGAGAAAACGCGCGGCAGCGAATCCGGGGAAAATTAATCTCCCTTCCTCGAGCGGTCGAAATCCGCGCGATCGCCTCTGGATTTTTATTCCTCTACTTCATCCCCCGCTTCCCGGGTTACCTCCATTTCGTTCTCGTTCCGTCTCGCGGCGCGATTTGCCAAATTCGGTTACGCCATTGACGCGTGCCGCGGTGAATTCCTCCCGGGAGGAAGGAAAAGGGACCCGCGAAGAGGATTTAACGAGGCCGATACGTGTCGTTGCGAGATATTTTCGACCCCATCAATTCCAATTACGTTGATGAACGTTTCCGTTGACTTCTTCCAGTTTCGAAATACCCAGTTATTTCAGCTCCTCGCGACAGTAGCCGTCCTTGGGTCGAAGCGAAGTTCAATTCTTGGACATTTCGACGTAGAACATCCCGAAGTGGAGGGAAATGCCCCCACCCTGTCGTTCCCCGCCGTTACCATTTCCCCCGATCGCCTAAATCAACTCCAACTACTCTTCTCCTCCTCCCTCTTCGCTTTCCCCTCGAAGACGCCCAGAAGCCCCGTCACTCCGTCGACTCGTGTCCCTATCTTGTCGGAATGGCCCGGCGTCCAGGGGACGAGAGAGGAGCTTCTGTCGCGAACAATGCGCCTTCTAGAGCACGTACCGTCCGTGAGCGTTATCGCGTGCCTAAATTACTCGGAGTGCATACTTATTGTCGGCCCTGGAGGCCGCGGGTGCACGCAACTGCATTTCCGCAGTCGCGGGGGAGAGCGGAGCGGCCTCGTAAAATAAAATAATTCCCACTCGACCGTGATAACGCGGCCGCGACGATTAGTTCGCCTTATCACTCGCGACCTAAGTAGGAAGCGCGCATTCGCTCGTTTTTCCCCTCCCATTTTCCACCCCTCTGAAGTTTACCGTCGTCCTCGTACCGCCCCAGTTTTATTTTACTTCGTATTTACCGAGGCCCCTCTGAAAATCTACCCCTCGCTCGAGGGAAGAGGAGCATTCGAGTCGCAGCTGCAGTTGACCTCCTAGGTACGTTTATGCCGGACGGGAGGAGGAGCACCTGTCGTTGTAGCTCGACAATAAGCGCTGAAAAAGTTTAAAAATGGCGTCGAAGGAGTTGTCCCCCCCCCCCGGGACGGTCGGACCCTTCTTGACTGTCGCGGAGTCAATTGGCGTAAAATCCGCAATCCGAAATCCGAAATCCGAGCGGGAGAGATATTCGCGCAGCTTCCCCGAGGACGTATCTCCCCGAACCAGGGGTCACCGGGGGTGGGGCCGGGTTTGGGGTGCAAAAACGAAATTGAATTTCCCGCTATCTAAACGTCCGAAAGGACGGGGATTGGGGCAGGTCCGGGTCGCGGCTGGGAGGATTCCTCCGGGAGTGGAGTCAAGGTGTATAGGGTGGACTGCTCCTATCGGATGGAGCGTGGATAACGTCTCGGGTTTAAGGTTTAAGGCTCGAGGGAGACCCGGGCTCCCGATCGACAACCTCCCCCGGGAAAGGGGATCTTTGTGCCCTTCCCGATCCGCGGCTTATGGACGTCGAGGATCCCTCGCGAAATACCGCGAGACATTTATTATATAACTTCCATTTAAAGCGAACCATCGGGGAGATAAGGTCGATAAGCTCTCCGTGTTATCGGCGGTCCATTCTTGATTAGCCCCTGGACTTTTATTCGCTCTCCGCTTTTCCAAGATGCACTTGAGCCAATAATTTTAGCAGAGTCCTCCCGATGCGAGAGAGCGTTAATTCTCCCAGGGAGCTTTTTTGAGACTGTCCTTTAAACGAGACCGACTCGTTTGCGTCGACCGGAATGCGGGGTTCGTCGGAAAATGGTCCGAAAAGAATTTTCAAAGAGTGGCGGGAATCCCTTTGGAGGTTTTCCGAGCTCGTCGCGCGGCCGTCCGAGTGCGTTTCATTGTTTCCGGGGTGGCATCCTTTGTGCCGGCGCCGCCATCCGATATGCTCGTCCCTGTAGCGATTTTCATCTCTCCCCGGTTTTCCCTGCTTTCCCATACCGGCTTTCCGGTTTCCCGGGCCCGGGGCTCGCGAATTAATAACTAATGTTCGCGCGACGCGCAATCGCCGCCAAGTTTCAATAATGGTCGACTTCTCGCCGGGATGTCGAGAGGAAACAGAGCACCGTGGTATCCGACCAACATTTCTTGACGAAAAATGGGCAGCGACATTTTTTAATTTCTCGAAAAATCGTTCCTTGCGTGGTAACTGATTTTTCGAAGCCATCCTTTTTTCTCGTTTGAGCATTCGACGTTACTTGGGCCATAATGCAAGCGGAAACTCGGCCGGCTTTTCTCGAAGAGGACTCGCAGAGGAAAACGGCGCCGCGATTTTAAAACTTCGCCGAATCGTCTCGTTGACTCTTCCGTGCTCGTCGGGGAGCGGGGGCGACGCGTCCGTTTTCCGGACGGAAAAGCGTCCCTTTCTCCACTCGTCAGGCAGAGGGTGCGCGAACCGACCCGGGCTTTCGTCTCCCGGAGGAGCCTCGAAATCTCCCCCGGGAAACTGGGTCGCATACTTAGCCAGGGTGCCTTTCCGAGGGGTGCTCCTGCTCGAGCGCTCTCGAGGACCAATTAAAGGGACGCGAGCGCGCCGAAAAGTTGGCGGAGACCGCTCGAGGGTCGAATTTCCGTCCTTCCTGGATGGAATCCGCAATTTCGCCCGTTTTCCCCGTGCGAGTCCTCGGTCCGGAAAGTGGCGGTGCGTGCCCGAATTACGACTCCGGATATAATTATAACGACGCGGAATCCCGGGGCGCGCACCCCTCCGGAGACATCCGAGCGATCCCAATATGCGACGCGTGCCGACGCGCCGCGCGATTCTCCCGCTGATGCAGCCATTCCGCAGGGGTGCGCCGATCCGACCCTCGGTCGGGGGCTGCGGACTCCCCGCGAACAACGCCATCGCGCCATCGCGCGGATATGGCGAAGGGAAGGACTCGACGTCTCGATTAATGGCGGCCGGAGGCCCGTCCTGGCCGGGTTTGAATGGATGCGGGAGGAAAAATTCTGGATCCAGCCGGATAGATTTTCACGGATCCGGATGAATCCGAGGAGATCCGGCGGGATCCAGATAGGTTCAGATCGGTCCGGACTCATCCGGACTCATCCGGACTCATCCGGACTCATCCAGATGAAGCCGGGCGGTCTCGGATGACCCCACCCTCCGACATCTCGAAACGGCCCCGAAGAACCCTCACCAGAGAGTGGGCTCGGTTTCGCTCCTCGCCCCGAGGAGGAAGTTCGGATCGCCGTTTTCTCAGACTTTTGGAAAAGTTAGCGAGGGTCGCTCGGCCTTGGGGCGACACGCGTCCTCCTCCGCGAGGACGCCGCGGACGCGGAATTGCGACTTCCCGGGCGAGTTCACGCGTTAAAGGGAGAAGAGCGTCAAGTGCCGGCGAACGTCCTCGTAAAGCCGCGTAATTGAGCCGCGAGAACTGCCGCGAAAACGGCCGCCATTTTGCCGGGGCCTCTTTATCGCCCGCGCCAAGAAATGCCGCCGTCGACCGTCCTCGTCGCGGCGATAAACCGCGTCCGGAATCGGGGATGGAAATTTGCGGCGACGGGCGTTCCGGACGCAACGCGAGGGGACGAGGTTGGATTTTCGAAAAACGACGTCTCCCCGCCCGCGCGGACCAACTTTCGCGCGATTTCCCTCGCGAAGCACCTCCGTCGGCGATTATCGCCCGCTTTTAGGACCGTCGCCTCTCCGCGCCCCCGCAATCTCCCGGGCTTACCCTTTTCGCGTCGCATTCCAAAGTTACCCTAATCGCTTCCCCGGAGGAACTTGTTTACCCTCGGACTTTGGGGTTGCTCCGCGTCGCTTTTCGCGCGGACGAACCGTAGGGTTCGACGGAGAGACCACGCTGCGGAATCGCGCCGGATTCCGTCACGTAAACGGCCTGACGTAAACGCGATGCGGGGCTTCTCTCTTCGCCTTTAATGAAACCGGAATCCGGCCGGTCGTTCGCGCGGAAAAATTCCGCTCCCCAGGAGACGCGGGCGCTCGCGTTTTCCGGCTCTTCGGAGCGTTTCAGCGTATTCGG